TCTTAATTAGTGGCGGCCAGTGCGAGTATACTTGGGCCAGAGGACCAGCTCGCCTCGGAAAAGTCATGAACGTTCCAACCCGATGTCGTTTTTATGACCCATCTAAACCTCACGGGGTGCAAACTAAAAGCAGTGAAGGGTTGCTGTTAACAAGTGTCAAATAAAATTGTCGAGTGAACACAAACCAACGGAGGAGGCTATTCCTCAGGAATACTTCCAGCCTTTCCACTTTGGTGAAGAAGGAAGACAAGCGAAGCTGGTACTATGGTGGGAAGGAAGTAATGGCCAGCCGCAAGTCGGCAAGCCAGAGTGGAAAGGCTGGAAAGGTTGCGCCATCTACGAGCGACGGCGGCAGCTGTCCAGAGTTTAGTGTCATCATTTGTTTGCTGACGGACACGACACTGGGGAAACTAGGCCTTAACAGCTCCGCTGTATAAAGAAGTGCGTGTGTGTGTGGGGGGGGGGAGGGGAGGGAGGGGGGGGGGGGAGGGGGGGGAGTTGGAGAGTTTTAAGAACGTACTGTGTTGTAAAAGTTCCTCTTCACTCATCTTGGGCGCAGATCAAAAAGCGTGACTCCGGAAAATACTTAGCTTGCAAAAACGCTCTTACCCAAAATCACGTTCTTGTCGTGCCAGACGCTCGCGCCGTTCCTAGTGAAAAGCGTCTGACTCGCAACTAAAGGGTCGTGGGTTCGAATCCCGCCTAAAATTCTTAATTTTTTTAAGGCAAAATAATTACTTTAAAAAGTGAAATCATTTGAGACATACGACGACCTTTAATTCGCATTACATGTCATGTTTCAATCACTCTCATTCCACGCGTGATGTCACGTTTCACGTGAGCGTTGTGGGTTGCTTGAAATTCTTGCGCGAGGGTATGTAGCTGTGACGTCATGAACCTATCGACCAATCAGGATTTTACAGTCACGTCACCGACATCGTCTTTTCTGCGACATGAGCTCCTTAACGCTATCGAGTTAAGATCATCAGTTAGCAAAGGTGATGCTCATTTGCAAATTAAATTGACCGGCATCTTGTCAAGAACAAACCTCAACAGTCAGGCTATGCCAGCTTATTCTGCATAAGAAAATGTTCATTTGGGCAAGCGCTATTTTGGGCCAGATTCGATCTGAATGCGAAGGTGCGTATAGATTAGAGTGAACAATTGCGATTACTTCGTGCTGCATGATTAGTGGCATGCATGCGGTGCTGAATGTAAACAATGTTTGGTTAGAACAACAAGCATTTGGATTGCCGCTCGGTGTTTCTATAAAAAATAGACTAAAAGGAATTATCCTAAAACTTTTGTTACTTTTGGAAATTTCATTGCTTTTAGCTCAGTTGTGAGGTCATCATATACATATATATTGTGAAGTGTATTTCGTAAACCTTATTTCATAATTAGCATGAGCACGAGGTGCTCATTTCATAGTTTTATGTGATGTAAGTAATTCCTTAGTTCAAGGACACAACGATTTCATTTCTAACACTGCGACACAAAGTTGTACCAATCATGGGTATTTTAGGCGACCTACCAGGCTTTGCGACAGCATTTTATACCGTGTAGATAGATCAGCTTGAACTTTAGAATTTTACTTAAACACGAAGAAATCACAATAAAATACAGTATAGCTCTAAATTTGAAGCTGATCTATTTACAGGTATGTCCCAACCAGCTGAACTCTTTACTCTTGTACTTAAACATTTTGATCCAGGTAAAACATATGTTACTGGTAAACAAAGGGATGTGGAGTCGTTTGAACACAACGTTATGTATTTTAATGTAGATTTTTTTCTACTCTTGCGTCGAAATTAAATAACTGAATTTGATATTTGGGTACCTAAAAACAAAAGTAAATTGCACGGACGATCAAAGAAACTATATAGTTAATAGTTTCACGGCGTAAATAGTGTATTTTGCCAGAACAACGCGAAAAAATATTCTCAATTTAGCGGTTCAAACCGGTTCGAACCGGTTTGAACCGGTAATTTTTGCTCCCCGGAATTGAACCGGAACCGAACCGAAAGCTGTGAACCCGAACCGGAACCGAACCGATAAAAATTTCGGTTCGACACTCTGGTTGGAGTAGTACAAGCGGATGCCACCGGGACAACACGTTTGTGCTTGTTGTTGCGTGACGAACCGACTCTGGATCAATGCGATTTCTTTGGAATCCAATTCTGCACAGTCTCCAATTTTGGTAAGTATGGTGGAAAACCTGAGATCGCTTTGCCTTACGACCTTCGTGAGGACAAAGTATGACAAATGGTGCCATATGCGATTTCCGTGTTAAACACACTGTTCGTCTTGACGCGCTTGAAAACCTCGGCGGCACGAACGGGGGGAAGCTGGCGCAGGTCTCCGCAGAGGATGATGTCTAACCCGCCGAAAGGCTCTAGGTATTTGCAAGTGATGATGCGGAGTCGCGAGTCCACTTTCTGAAGGATGTCGGCGGACATCATGCTAACCTCATCGATAATCACGCACCTGACGTTCCTGAACGCATAGCGGAACGTGTTCAACTCGTTGTCCCGCAGTCCGCCATCCCTATTGATGGTAAGTCTGAACGCTGCATGTACAGTTATTCCACCAAGCGCGACCGCCGCTTTTCCAGTTGTAGCACAGGCAACATAGGCGTTTACATTATCTGAACCAGCAGGGCTGCAATATCTGTTGTAGACGTCCATGATGAGACGCAGTACAAATGTCTTCCCACATCCAGCCACTCCCGTGAAGAAGATTTGTAGTGGCGGAGAGTCCGGTATAGTGAGTCTATGCACGACTTCTCGGACGATCTCGTACTGCTCCTCATTCGTCTTCCGCATTGTGTCCAGGTACTGATCTCTGCTCATGACGTCTTGGCGCGTGCACACGGCGGGGCACTGCTTAAACGGGGCATTGGATTGGACCATACTGATGTCTAGGAGATCGGAGACGTCGTTTTCCATGGCCATCGGGTGCAGTCTCACATCTGGGAGCTCAGAAGTGGCACAATGTTCCCCGTCATTTGACTGGAGCATGGAATTACAAACGGCACGAATTTGCTCAATGTCTACGTCACTGTGGTACCGTGCCTTGTTCTGTAGAATGACGTCGATGTTTTGCTCATACAGACGCTCGAAACAGTTTTGGTCTAAGATGTCAACTTCTTTGCGGAATGGATAGAAAAGCAGGACATGTTCTCGCTTGAAGTTGACTGAATCGTCTACGGAGTAACCGCGGTAGCGAAGTATCCGTCGCTGATTCCTCTTTCTGTAGGTATATATGTTGTACTCGGTAGCGAACTCTGCTAGAGTAACAGGTTCCAATTCGGGAATGCGGTCTTCGTAGCGCTCGATCATTGTACGTTTCCATACATCAGTGCTTGATCCTACTAAGCCTTCCTGCGCCATCTGAGCGTTAGACTTCCGAATGCGCGTCCTCTCCTCGGGCCATGCAGAGTTCACGAAGACAACTTTGCGACTCGCCTCCGACATATCCTGGTTGAGCAAACACCGTGCGGCCTCTTGTGCGGACAGTTCAATGGCATTCAACATTTTCACACCCAGATGTCTCAGTGCCTGAGAATAGGCCATATCCCCCTTCTCCTTGACAATTTCTGGCACTACTCGATTGAGGTTCGACATACCTCGGTTGGCCTTGTTTACATATTCCACCACGTAGGCAGCACACGCGTACGTGTCGAGGACGATCTGAAGATCCATGTTAGAATCGAGAATTGACGCAACCCATGGGTTAAAGTAATTCACCCACTTTTGCTGCACAGTACGGGGTAGCATGATGGTGGCACGAGGAGTGCCTGCTCGGAGAACAGAAATGTACTCCGCCTTGACCGCGACACCGTGATGTTCCCAAAACTGCTCCATGGAGTCATAATTTGTCGTTTCCAGGGCCTGATGCATGGCCTCGTACTTGTTTAGGAGGCTCTCGATTTTCTTCTTCTGCGCTTCATTGTCCACAGTGGGGAAAGGCACTACGACCATACATTCATCGATGGGCATAAAAGGCGCGTTAAAGCGGCATCTGGTGGTGTTGTGCTTGTAGCAGGTATGCGTGTGTTGGTGCACCTGAGTCCGCTCCCGCTTCAAGCATCCGTTGTCGATGGAAAGCAGAACGTTGGCTATTTCAAGAGTCTGGGGCATGAGCATCGAGAGCTCCTCGTTGGGCGCGTTATGAAGCCAAAGGAGAATGTGCGCGTGTGCCGACCCGCGGTGCTGAAATTCAATCCGCTTAAAGTAGTCGACGACTATGTACGGCCTAAAAGGCGATACACGGGTGTTGCGGAGAATGTTGAGAATGACACGCACCAATCGGTCGAAATATATGGCACAGACCACGGGATCGTCATTTACTAGCTGAGCTCGATAAATGCTGTTCATTTGCTCCAGTGGTACTTCGATCTCGCCGGGCTTCAACCGAAGGCGTTGAAGCAACTGCAAAAGGTCGGGCCAGTGCATTTCCGAGGCAGAAAGAGTGAGGAACGCGGTCGGCTTACCCAACTGCCGTATCATAGCAAAGAGGTCTTTCTTGCGTTTTGTCCAGTACTGCACGGTGTTGGGTATACCATGCATGAAAGCCATGTCGTGCTCGACCGCTTGCTGCACAAAATCCTTGTCGAGCAACTGTTGCTTCGTTAGTGTTTCCAGTGCCTTTATGTTACGGAAGGCCACACACATGTCACCGGCTACTCGGTGCCTAAACACTTTCATGGCCATGTACAGTACGTGCTGCGGGGTGGCCCCTCGACGGTCTGATCTGCGGATCTCACTCATGGCGTGTGTGAAGACTGTCGGTTTTGCGCTGGCATCTACTCGGCGCGGCTCACCGAGATAGATCTGTGGGAACGAGAGCTCCTCTGCGTGTTCGTCGTAAAGGATGCTCACGGGCCTTTTTCCCTTACCTGGCGCAATCGCTGGAAACTTGTCTTCGTCCCATACGAGAGTGTGCTGAGCCAGAGTCATGGCTGTAGCCACTTGGATCGGATCGTTGAGGTCTGAGCATTACGGGAGCAACTCGATCTCGTCGTGTTCGTCCACTTCTACGATATCCCCCAAACGGGCAAAATCGCACTTTATATTATAATGCTTGTACAGCGTGCTATCACACAGCAGCTTAAGCCACGGCAGCAGATCACATTTTTTTACTGCCCCTGCCAGGTACGTCGTCTTCGCAAGCATACGCCGCTTCAAATGTACATTGAGGGCTCGGTCTTGTTCGATGGCACGAGGCAACATTGTCACCATGTCGTCCACATCAACACAGACGTTCACTACTGGTCCCTTAATGCCATGTTGACGTGCACCGTGCATCAGCCGTCGCAGTTGCATGAAAGGAATTCGTGGAGATATGAGTCTCTCACTCACCGCGTTCAATTGTGGGAGGTGGGCTGGCTTCGGGGGATATACATAACCGTTACTTGAGGAAAGATGAGGAATATGACCCTTGTGCACTGATTGTATGCAGGTCGAGCACAGTTTGAATTGGGTTAAATCCGAGTTTGGAAATGATTGCTCTAGGGTCTCGTGACATCTGTCCGGTAGCGGTTGCAAGTCGTTTTGGAACCAGAGCCGATCACAGACTGAACATACGCTCCCAAACGGGTTGTCTCTAAACAGCCGTTGGAAATTTTTTGTTGCACCGTCAGGCTTAGCGATCCTTGCCTTTTGCTTGGCTTCCGCTGTGGCGGCGCTCACTCCTGGCTGCTCTCGGCGGCGGCGATGAGCTTCTGCCTCGGCGTCGCGCACTTCCGAGTCCTCTCGATAGCGGCTTCTGGCTTCCGCTTCGGCGGCGCTCACTCCTGGCTGCTCTCGGCGGTAGCGATGAGCCTCTGCCTCGGCGTCGCGCACTTCCGGGTGCCCTCGACGGCGGCGCTTAGATTCAGCTTCAGCAGCGCTCACTTCTGGCTGCTCTCGGCGGCGGCGATGAGCCTCTGCCTCGGCGTCGCGTACCTCCGGGTCCTCTCGATAGCGGCTTCTGGCTTCCGCTTCGGCGGCGCTCACTCCTGGCTGCTCTCGGCGGCGGCGATGAGCCTCTGCCTCGGCTTCGCGCACTTCCGGATCCTCTCGACGGCGGCGCTTAGATTCAGCTTCAGCAGCGCTTACTTCTGGGTGCTCTCGGCGACGGCGATGAGCTTCTGCTTCGGCGTCGCGCACTTCCGGGTCCTCTCGATAGCGGCTTCTGGCTTCCGCTTCGGTGGCGCTCACTCCTGGCTGCTCTCGGCGGCGGCGATGAGCCTCTGCCTCGGCGTCGCGCACTTCCGGGTGGTCTCGACGGCGGCGCTTAGATTCAGCTTCAGCAGCGCTTACTTCTGGCTGCTCTCGACGGCGGCGATGAGCTTCTGCTTCGGCGTCGCGCACTTCAGTGTCCTCTCGATGGCGGCGCTTAGATTGAGCTTCAGCAGCGCTCACTTCTGGTTGCTCTCGGCGGCGGCGATGAGCCTCTGCCTCGGCGTCGCGCACTTCCGGGTCTTGTCGACGGCGCCGTTTAGCTTCAGCTTCGGCGGCACGCACTGCAGGATCTTGGCGCCGGCGGCGCTGAGCCTCTGCTCGGGCAGTGCGTTTAGCAGCAGCTGCTTCATCTGACTCGCTCATTTTGTGAAAAAAGAACTGCCTGACTAAGTCTCGTCGTCGTCGTCTTTGTGATATCACTCATGCTGGATCACGGCGCCGACGGTGCTGACCCTCTGCTCGTGCAGCACGTTTAGCAGCAGCTGCTAAAGCCCCTCCATCCTGAGAAAAGTGGCTGCATTGATTGTTGTGGAAATGCTCGAGACACGTGCCGTGCACCAATTCTGGGAAGAACATGGCCACTGTAACATGGCATCTGAAATCTAGTTTGAATGTGCACTGTGCCGCCATGATCTTTCCAAAGTCTGCACGTTGCACGTGCCTTGTGCATCGACGCACCGTGCGCTACTTTTAAGGCATGAACGCACTTTAGCAGCTTTTAGCTTCTCTTTGTTCTATTATTTTTCTGCTGCAGGGTTTTTCAACCGTGCAGCAGGAAAGCCGAAGCCGGCCGAGGGATAAGAGATAAGTCTTTTAAAATAATTTTTCGGAGAAATGAAAATTCGGATTCGTCCGCCCTGCTCATCCTCCCTGCTCCCCTGCGTTCTCCTCTTCTCCTCGCGGGGGCCACGTGATCTCGGGGGGGGGGAGAGGCGAGGGGGTAGTCACGTGACCCTCCCGAGGCCACGTGACCCCCCGCTGAAGTCATGTGACCCCCTCCCCCCGAGGTCACGTGACCCCCCCCCGAACCATACTAGACAATGAGGGGAGGAGGAGGAGGGCAGAGGTCCGGGGGGTCACGTGACCTCTAGGGGACGGGATCACATGACCTTGGGCGGGCCGTCACGTGACTTCGGCGGGGGGAGGGGAGTCACCCGCCGGGGTAACGTGACCTTGGCGGGAGAGGAGGGGGAGCGGAGGGGGAGGAGGGGAGGAGGAGGAGAGGGAGGGGCGCGGTTACGCCGACGCCGACGGCGACGCCGACGCCGCTCAGGCTGGAGACGGGCCCCCAAGAGCTGCGCTCTAAAACGATCTATTGTCACGAAGTAGGTTGCAGCGCACTTACGTTGACGAGACGCGACTTGAAAGGTGTTATTCAAGGGAGATGTCGACACGGCCACGGCAAAACCACCACTCGAACACAGAAACGCGAAGGTGCCCGTGAAGATTCAACACGATGTAGCACAAGCTGTCGTTCGTAGAACCGAACACTAAACGGATCACAAAACATTCTTGGGCTTCTTTGAAGAAATCGCTTGCAGAACCAGACATACGCAGCAGCCACAGATGGAGAATTCACACGCCAAACTAGGTCCGGCTAAACGCATTCCGAGATCGGGAACGGCTAATGCGTCATCCCTCAAACCACGTGACCACTCAACTTCTACAACGCTTTCAGCTTAGGGAAAGAGAGAAAAGGATCAAGGGAGAGGCCAAAACGGGGTTTCACGAACAAAAGGCTTATCTTACGGGGCCGCAACGAGGGGATGTGTCACTTGTAACGAAGGTTGACAGTGCTGTGAATGCTAAGTGTGGCCTTGGGCGCCAGGCAGGTGCGATGTCCTGCTTTGTCACCAGATTCTAGACTGTAGTCACGTGACCCTAACCGGAGACACGATTGGCCTAAAACACGCGTAGCATCTACCCTGCTGTCAATATCGAGTGAACATAGAGCTCTATGATGTCCAGCTTTTGAACTCAAAACGATGCGAGTTTTACGCTGTATAGCCCACATTATAATTTTAAATAAAAAATAAACGCGACTATTTTTTTGTGCATGATGTCGACAAATAAATAAATATGTATACATATATATATGTTTACCAATAAATTTAAAATCATGTGTACACTGTTTCAAATTTTGTTACGAACGAGTTACAAATAAAAGACACCACGGACAGCACATCTTCCGACTTTCAACACACGATGAATCGCCGACGCTCGCAAACGAACGGATGCGATGCTGCGCAAACGGTTTTGAAAAAGTTGCATTTTGTACCCCGGGCGCGACGGCTTCCGTTCGAAGGGAAAAGGATTCGGGACGGCGAAATAGCGTCTTGCATCTTGAGTAAGCTAACGGTTCGTGTTTACCTGCTCAAATTAGCGGGGAAATATGAAAAAAAAAAATTATTTCACTGCCAGATTTCGCGGCAAAATTGACGTCACGTGACAAACGTACCAATTCAATTTTTCGCTAAATTTAACGGGGCGGTTACACCGATGGCGACGCCAACACCGCTTAATTAGGAAGGGTGCCTAAGAGCTGCGACTAAAATCCACTGTTTGATGAAGTCGCGTTACGATCGCACTACGTCATATTGTCACACATCAAACATACAACCAAATTTCATTTGTCTTTCAATCTTCAAATTGAGCAATTGATTAATTGGTCCAAATACCTGGAATAACTTCACTTTAAGGATGTTAACAATAGTTAACCAATTACATGAGACTCATGTAATATAGATCAATCAACTAGTGTCTCAGCGAGTACATATAACTTGTTGCTTCCACAACTGAAACGGGCCCATATATCATTATCTGGGGCTATATTTGCCCGCGTATATGGTACGCGGGCATATATGGTGATATATGCTTGTATTTACGCACTTATACGGCCAGATCTGTCAGTATTTGCCCACTTATATGTCGAAATACGGCCGTATTAGTTCCCATATCTGGCGAAATACAGCCCTATTTGACTGCTTATATTATCATATCTGGCCATATATAAAATATATCAGGGCCATATCTGACATTTTCGTACGGGCTGTAATCCTTTAAAAGTTTATTTCACAATGTTTTGCACTTTTTAAAAGAGTTTAACACCAGATCTTCCTATTTTTACCCGATTTTGTTTTTGTTTGTGAAATCACGACGATCTAAACCACCTTGCTTGCCTGCACCAAGATTAACAACACCGAGAACAAAACACCTCTCAAGACCTCCTTCAATGGTGACGAGGACCGGTGGGTGTGTGCGTTTGTGCAAATAGCATGTATGTGTATACTTGCTTTCCCTCGTGTCTACGTTGTTCCTTTCTTTTTTTGAGTGTCACAAATGTTATTGGAACATACTAAAATCTCTGCACTACTTGGCATAGTTATTTTCATAAGGCCACTGCAGATTAGGTTCAGTCGCAAAAACCCTGGTTAGCTTTGACACAACTGACTCGCGACGTGGATACGCTAGTCTTTTGAGATAAAAAATATATTATTAATATTAATATTATTAATATTAGTATTAATATTGTTATTACTATCATCATTATTATTATAGACTCAGTAAAACACCTAGGTCTTAACTTTGACTGTGATCTTTCGTGGACACACACATGCCTTATATAAGCCAACGATTCAGAACTGCTTTATGTTTGCTTTACCATATAAAAGGATTTCTACCATTGTCACCTAAAAACAGCATTGCGCACGCTTAACGTACAATATACTCAGATGCGGCATCACGGCATTTTGTAACTGTCCTTTTTCTGCCATTTTAGAGTTGATCATATTTTAAATGGAATTTTGAAGTGTGCCGCTCATAGCAAAGCCTTTCTATCCTGTGAGAACTTGTTTGTCTCTCTCGAGGTACCTTGTTTTAGCTCACTATTTCTCCAAAACTCTTATCTGGCGATAGTTCTGGGGAAGTGAGTTCAAGGTGTCGTCAAGTCCACTTCGTGATCTGAGATCTGCTCCGCGTTCTCAAACTCTGCGGGTAAGGACTCATTACGGTAAAAGTATTCGCTCATCTTTTGTACCAAAATATTTAATAATTTCCCAGATTCTTTGCTTGTCCTTTCTTCAAACAAGACATTAAAAAAAAATATCTGAGGAGGTCGTTCTGTGACGTGTATAGACAGTGAACCTTTGTGCCTTTAACTCTTATGTGCTTGTTCTTACATTTTGCATATTCCCTCGTGCCATTGATTTTTTTTCTACTGACTAAGTTAATTTATTTAATTTTTCGGGAGAAACTAACTGGTGGATTTATTGTGTGAAATCTGTTATTTGATGTTAATCATTTTGTTTTTTGTGTGGACACACCCAGAGTGAATTTGCCAGACTCAGCAAGAAATATTTGTGTCTTCAGTACGATATATAGTGTGCGGATTTGTGTGCTACCCAGTGTTTTGTATTTTATGACTCATCTTCAAACTACATGCAAACTCGACTAAAACACCAACTCTGACTTTCCTCCTATACTGTGATGAAACATTGAAATGTGTGTGTGTGTGTGTGTGTACGTTTTTTTCCCATGTGCACGTGATGTGAGACCGTGCAAATATCTGATCTGCCACACCAAATGCTGAGTATGGTCCCACAAGCCTCTGCTGCTTTGACCAGACCCGATACACAAGTGGTTATATTTGCAATGCTGATATAAAATTTATTATTATTATTATTATTATTATTATTATTATTATTATTATTATTCGTGTAAATATTCGAAGTTTGCGTAAACACTGAGATAAGTTGCGTGCAATAATTAATACGTTTACCGCGTCGATGGATGTTTTCGTTCTAACTGAAATTGATGTGTTATCTTTGCAATGCAATCAATTGATTCTCGATGGCTACAAGGAGTCATTTTACACCCGTCATCATGGTAGAGGTGGTGGGATTGCTATATACGTTAAAGATACATGTTTACTGTCGCCTCGGAGCATATCTCTTGTCAACGGAGAAACACTGGCTGTTCGAATTTTTTTGTCAGGTTTTTCTTTATTTTTGTTAGCGGTTTACAGGCCTCTCTCAGAAAATGTTTCGATCTTTCTTGCTGAACTAGATGCTGTGCTTAACCAGTTTCGTTCGGAAGGACAATTTTTCGTCATTGGCGATTTAAACATTGATACTCTTATACCTAATAAATCGATAGTTTGTGATTATCTCACTCTACTCTCGAAATATGGCATTGGAAATGCCATATTTCCATACCCACTAGAGAAGAACTTTGGGTTGAAAAATTAGTAGTTCCCTGAATTGACCATATCAATATTCGTGCTCCGGATATGTCTGGAAAGTCCGGCGTAATTA